TTTCTACTGTATATCTCATAGCTGTCTTCCTGTCCTCATTTATGTACTGCAACCCTCTCACATACTTCTCTGCCACTCCTGATAACCTCGTGTAGTACCACTGTTTCTGTCTTGGCACCCTATCATATGTTTTCTCTCGATCCACAAAGACGCAGTGCAACCTTCTCTATACTTTTCCACCAACAGTCTCAAAAGTCTTTTTCCCCTTCCTTAGTGTTCAGCCTCATATACAAGTCGGTATAAGCTACAATTCATATATATTATATCTATTATATCTTCAATGTACTAATAACTTGAGAACAAAAATGTTTATCCTGAAAGATTTACATGTTTGGACTACAGTTCCATAGAGCCCATTCTTTTTGCGTCATCTCGCGAGAAAGCGGAAATAGAAATACACGAATGACCCGAAGAGGGCAGTAACGCCCCTTTGCTCCGCCGAAAACCTCCCCACAGGAAGAAGACGACGAAGAAGAAGGTAGCCGTGACGTCTGGCCGTGGTTGGTTGTTGTTGTTTAGCAACCATTTGCTAGTTAACGGGTAGTTTACCTTTGACATCGTATATGGCGCATTAAGCTGTTTTCGAGTATATGTGAGGTTTAAAGGGGATTAAAATGGCCCTGCAAAGCTGAGGTAAACTACAGTTTTCGTGTTATTGGACAGTAGCAGCCTGTTAGCTGTCATGCTAATAGTTTAAAACAACAGATATTACTGCTTATTATGTTTTCTTGTGTGTCATTTGCCGTCTAATTTTGTCTAATATTAAATGAACTAACAGGTTCCTATTTTATGCAACCGTGAGACATTAACTGTAGTTGCACATCACACGAAAACCCCTTGTTAATGTGGTCTGGGTCCACCTCATGTCGCCATTGCAGCTTGAATATCTGTCAGGACGTCTGCTCATGTGTTTGTCTGTCAGGATCCAGTGATGCCATAGAGGTAGGAGGCACTGCCAGGGCTCCTCCACCGGAGGACGAGAGGTCTCCTTAGCAATGGCAACCGAACTTCATGAGACCATATTCATGGCCAAGCAGGAGCGCCACAAAAACCTGTTTCTTAACTACAAAAACCTGAACATTTTCCCCGTGGAGCTGCTGAAAGATGAAGGCCTGCAGTTTCTGGAGAGACTTTACATGAAGAGAAACTCACTCACTACACTGGTATCCACACAGTGCATTTTCATTTTACCATATGAGACACTTATGAAACCCAAAGAAAATTTCTAACTACTTCTGCTTTTGCTCTGTCTTCATCAGCCTGACAATCTTGCTCAAAAGCTCCCGAATCTCATTGAACTGTAAGTATTTTGCTAAACTAAGTTTTGTTTTATAAATTATGACAACAGATAGTTGACACATGCTGTCGGAGATTGATGGTGTGTTTTGTGTTTATCAAGAGGTTTCTAGTGAAGTTAACCACCAGATGTTGCATCACTAAATTTGGTTAACTGTCTCTCACATTTAGGTGTTTTTAGCAGCAAACACCAGAGCTGTAATTGTCTTACTGTCTGCTTGTACATTTCAGGTATTTGCACTCAAACAACTTGGTCATTATTCCTGAGGGTAAGCACATTGTCCAGTACAATACTATTAATAACAGTGTTTAATTCACTTGTTTGAATATTAAGATTGGTTTCATTCCCAGCTATTGGAAACTTGGCCAGACTGCAGTCGTTAGACCTGAGCAATAATGCCCTGCAGGTTCTCTGTCCAGAGATCGGCAGACTGAGGTCTTTGCGGCACCTGAGACTGTCCAATAACCAGCTCAAATGCCTTCCTCCAGGTAAGACACAACAGTTGTCTGTCTTGTTTTTAGATTTCCTTTTAGAGGC